TTTTGGAATGACTGCTTTTTAATGGTGCGGTACTTGTGTATTTCATTTGGATGATCATCTGCCAGTAAAATCTCCTTAATTTTATGTAGTAGGTATTTATCACTGTAGATGAAATAATTTGGATATATCAACAAAGTTGAAATGGTAAATTGGCCACCGTAACGACTACAAAAGCTGACGTTTTGAGCGGTAGCCCTTCGTCGGAGCGAACTGTTATTTAGTATTTATTTGCAATATAGTTGGTATTTGTAACTATATAAACTAATTGCGATTTTGAGATGGCAATACCACATTATATTGACGGCTAGTTGGGAGAAAATATATTCCATATTGGGCTCTGTGGCTTCGCGACTCCACCCAATATGTAATATATTTTCTCCCAACTAGCCATCAATATAATGTGGAAGTGCCGTCTCAAAATTGCAATTAGTTTTGTATCGCGATCCATCATTTATAAGGGTAAATAAAACTGTAAAATAATCAACCCACGTCTGATTGAAATATAAATTCTTTCCACCTGTGAAACGTATCCATGGTAACACTAATTTCGCATGCAAATAAGTTTGTCACGGGTAATTTGAAATTCCCTGCAAGTTTATAGTCTTTGTTACCATAAAATGAGTTGATCAAAACTGAAAAGTGTTGAAAGTTACACAGGAATGGAGTCTGAAGAGCCATTTGGTGATGAAATACCAAATTTTGATATTTGTGGGACTGTTTTTAAAGAGTTATGTAAGGACATCGATGTACTAGATGTCTATGCAAAAACTGAAACGGGCGCCTTGAGTGAAAATAGTGGGTGGAAAAGTACAGAAAATGAGCAGAATCTAATAACTCTTTGAATTCTTGCCATATTAACATTCATTTTCCAACTGGCAAGTGACTTTGTCACATTATTACAATGTTTATGACTGTAAAAGTTGAATTTTCAATAAATACTGTCGAACTTGAAGTGAAATATTAGTACAATCATTTGAATTTGGCGGTAATTTGTTTGTGTACGTCAGCAACCTAATTTAGTGCAACGACGTCAATTTCAAAATTAGAACCAATCACAGGCCGCAAAAGTGAGTTGGCAATGCCATGAAATATTGACGGCTCGCGCATAGCCAATACTATAAGAAGATTGCGGTACATTAATATTAAACTCTTTGTTCATGGCTAGGTGGTACGTAAATTAAAATTGCATAATTAATTAAAATTTCACATTCTTACTGGTTAATGAAGCAAGGTATTTAGCTTGCAATTTCGAGTTGAAAACGAGGCTGAGTGATAATGTTTTGCATTTACGTATACATAACTACTACAAGTAATGCTGTTTTTTTTTCTTTTTTTTTCAATTATGCAAATCAAGGAAAATCGATTACTTGACTCGTGAATTCTGCGTTAAATTGCTCTTAAAAGTGGATATCACACTCATCACTTTGCAATTATTTTGTGCAATGTCAATTTTCATGTGAATCTTCATGAATTCCCTTGTCAAGCAATGAATTTTCTTATAATAATGATTTGAGGCATGGAATGAATTCTTTGTCTATCATTTATTATAAGACAGTGTTAATAATGTATTTTGCAGGGTCTGTATGCACGAATGGAATCAATTGGTGATGATAAGACTGAATTTAGGACTGAAGTTAGGTAAGTTTTCCCTGTTTTTTTTTGTTTTTGTTTTTTTTTTTGTGGCCATCAAGCTTAGGGGGCTTTTTTTAATGATGCCATCATTTATTAACTCCAATCAATACTTTCTTTGTGTGTTAGTTATCTTGAAATTTATAATGAGAGAGTTGGTGATCTCCTTCGACCAGCCAAAGGAAGAGAGAAATTTAATCTCAAAGTGAGAGAGCATCCCAAGGAAGGTCCTTATGTACAAGGTATGTTATAACATAACCAAAGCAAAGCGCGCGCTCTGATTGGTCAATTCAGCATCCTCCATTTGCCCATGGGTGTA